TAGGCCAAAGCAGCTTATTTATTAACCAATGGGATACAGCATACAGAAACACATCCCCCAGCACTTCCCCTTTTCTGTCTAATCAAAAAGGTTTTAGCTTTATATATAGTAAAATTTATATATAGCTTTTATATATAGTAAAATTATATATAACAAACAGTTATCAAACAAGAGTTACAGTTATAATATCTAGTCTATTTGTATTTGGCAAAGTTAAAATATTTTTATCATCTATCCTATTTTTGTGAGTCTAAGGTTTCATATCTAATTTATCTTTTATCATAACCAAGGAAAATTATAACTATCTAGTCTTTAACTCCATCAAAGACCCCAGAAGGATAAATATTACCTAAGAAAATAGAAAGTGCATTATAAGCAACTTCCAAAAATCTAGAATGACAGAGACAGCTGGCTGCCTGGACAGTAACCCAAAGTTCTTCTGCAATGTTGAGGCATCCATTCTTCAGCCTACAGGTCTAGAGTCTCTCAGTCACTTCTCTCTGTGTCCTGTAGAATGTCTGGCAGTTTCTTTTGTGAAGCAGGAACCTAAAGGACCATTTCACCAAGCAAAGTTCAGGGGTCACCTTTCTATGGGTCCTGCATGTCCAGTCAATACAACATTTTGTCAAGCAGTCCAGGCAAGAACAGTTTCTTGCCCAAATGGCTACCTTTGCCACAATGAAAGTAAACTCCATAAGGAGATTCTTTGATGCCCATCATCTTCTCTGAAGTAGATTGGTGCTGCCAGGAGCAGACATGTCTCATAGTTCAGAAAAGTCAAAGTTCTTAAAACATTTAAATGCCATATTCTGTAGGTTTTTCAAGTGTTTGAAGATTATCTACCTAATTGCACTATATCTATGTAAACGAAGAAAACTTAACTAACGTGACTATAAGTTAGATTATCATGGATGACTAATAATTAATTTGTATTTCTTAATTATACATTACAATTTCAAATGAGCTGCACAAATGTAGTACCTTAAACTAGAGTAGAAATATACATGCATTATTACAAAATGAACTTTAAATTTGTATCAATAAACTAAAATCCATAGCAATGTGAAACATTTCAAACAAGTTGCTTTTTAAAAATAGATTCAATAATCTACCCTTTTGTCCTATCGTATCTATAATATCCCCTTTTCTTTTTTATAAAGAGATTGCATTTTTTTTTTTTTTTTTTTTTTTTTTCGAGACAGGGTTTCTCTGTGTAGCTTTGCGCCTTTCCTGGAACTCACTTGGTAGCCCAGGCTGGCCTCGAACTCACAGAGATCCGCCTGGCTCTGCCTCCCGAGTTCTGGGATTAAAGGCATGCACCACCACCGCCCGGCTAAGAGATTGCATTTATAGTCAACCTGCTTTTAATAAAAATAAACATTTATAAATAATATTTTGGGAATTTGGGCATAGCTTCTCCTACTACTTCCTGCTGGGTTGGGGCACTGGCATTCTTATGGGGATCCTGAGAAAATTAAGAATTATAGTTAAATCTTAGATGTGAGGCTGTATTGACCTTTCAGGGGCGTCTTGGTTGATCAAACCATATTAGCTTGGAAGCAATCCACAGGTTCTCATCTTCTGTGGAAACAAAAACAGAACCTCTTTTCCAAAGCAATATATCCTTAAACATAAATTTTGAAGTCAAGATACCTTTAAAATACATATATTGGTTTAACTCAGCAGCCTTTACAATCAAAAATTGCAATTAAAAATCCCAAAGACAATATAATCCAGACTCTGTGTATAATTTCTACCTTTACATTGTGGTGGTATTGTGTTCCCCAAAATATTGTGTACCCTAATAAACTTATCTGGGGTCAGAGAACAGAACAGCCACTAGATACAGAGGCCAGAAAATGGTGGCACACATGCCTTTAATCCTGTCACTTGGGAGGCAGAGATCTATCTGGATCTCTGTGAGTTTAAAGTCACACTGGAAACATCCAGGCATGGTGACTCATGACTTTAAGGTGAGGGCAGAAAGCAGAAAGGTATATAAGGAGTGAAAACCAGGAACTAGGCTGGTTAAGCTTTTAGGCTTTTGAGCAGCAGTTCAGATGAGACCTATTCTGAATGAGGACACAGAGGCTTCCAGTCTGAGGAAACAGGATCAGCTGAGGAATTGGCAAGGTGAGGTGGCTGTGGCTTGTTCTGCTTCTCTGATCTTCCAACATTCACCCCAATAACTGGCACCAGGTTTTATTTTCATTAATAAGAACTTTTAAGATTCATGCTACATTACATGGCTTAACTTTTATATTACTTTTTACTGTTTCTTTAAAGACTTTATTTTTTAAAACTATCTATTTCTTTATATAACTGCATATATTCCTTTTCCTCTCTCTTCCAAGCCTACATACATTTTTTTTCACACACTGTAAACTGTTCCATCTGAATCTGTCTCATTGTGAATCTGTAATCCTTCTCTGCCCAGGAGAGATGTTAAAATGTTAAACTGAGTAGCTAGGACAAAAAGTGGCAGCCTTGGCTGCTGACTCTGCCCACCTCAACTTCCCAATGTGGTGGAGATATCCAGGGAAGTCCGGCTTACACTGCCAACTCTGGGGCCTTGCTGCCACCAGGCAGCGTGCAGCTGGCCCACAAACCCTTTCTGTCTGTATGAGTAAAAGCTAAATCCGCCATGCAGCATGCTGCGCAGCTTAGAGATAGCTCTGTGTACCGCAGCAGGAATCTGCCATGCTGTAGGTCAAGTCCAAATGCCACAGTTTGCCTGAGACACAGAACCAGGAAGCCGTTTTTAGCTCCATTTTAGAATCTCTTTTTAAAGCTTTCTCAGGTTTTGGGTGGAAATTCTTGCAACCACTTCTGGGCACCAAATGTAGTCAAAAGGTTTCTCCTGTCCTGCCCAGCCCCTCAGTCCTGCAGCCACTTATAAAATAATCACTCAGAGGCTTAAAATTATTCACAAACTGTATGGCCTATGGCAGGCCTCTTGATAGCTAGCTCTTATATCTTAAATTAACCCATTTCTATTCATCTATGTTTTACTACATGTTCTGTGGCTTACAGGTCTGCTGGCATGTTGTTCCTGGGGTGACAGGCTGGCATCTCTTCAGACTCCACCTTTCTCTTTCCTGTCTCTCTCCTTGGATTTCCCACCTGCCTCTAAGCTGCCTTGCCATAGCCCGAAGCAGCTTATTTATTAACCAATGGGAACAGCATATGTTCACAGCATACAGAAACACATCCTCCAGCACCACTTGACTGCTTGACATGTTCTCTCACTGATGATATCACTCCTCATGTTATCAGTGTTAATCCCAAAGGTGAGAATAAGACCACTACCACAGTTTGAGCCAAATTTGAAGCAAACTTGATTTTTATTGGGGTGCACCAAGAGCTGGCAAGCGACTGCCTCCTAAGTTGAGAGCAGTCCCGAATCCATCTCTTAGGCCCTTTTAAGGAGTAAAATCACTAGTAGTTTTACAGAAGGGAGACAATGAGACAATAAGGAAATACAAAAAAAATTTTAAAAAACTCATGTGGTCACCCACCATGTGATTAGGGAGGTCAGGGACGGTCAGGGTGTTCTCAAAAACGAATCAAGGTCATGGGCTGGGGAGGGTTGGGTTTCAGGAATCAGGGCAGCTCAGCTCTCACAGCAATAGAAACTTGTTTTTACAAACACAGCGCAATGTGTCCTGCCTCTAAAACGGAGTCAGGCGGGTTCTTCAATCAGCTTCCAGTTGTTTGATCATTTTAATTACCGCGCTCCTGCGTTTCTTTCTAAGGACTCTATTTTATTTTATTGTGTGGGTGTTTTGCCTGCACGTGGTCTGTGCAGTACGTGTATACCTAGCAATCAAGGTGGGCCAGAAGAGGGATCCCCTGGAACTGGATACAGGCAGTTCTGAGCTGCCTTGTGGGTTGGGAACTGAACCCGGGTCCTCTGGAAGAGCAGCCTTAACTGCTGAGCCTTTGGTCCGTGGTCCTCCACTGTCCCTCTAGTATGTTGGTGTCTTGGAGATTCTGGGTTAAAGATTTAGGTTAAGGAACGTTGACCACCAACATATCTCTAGAAATGGCTCAGTCTCTTCCAGGCCTTCTGAGCTGTTCTGGCTCAGAGTCTGTGTCATGGAGACAACAAGGGCCACCAGAACATCTTCTAGAGCACATTGGAAGCAAGCCCAAGAGATGATAGCATGTGCCTTGGATAGACAGGCTGTAATGAATTTGTTTGCACAAGTTTTCGGTACAGAGTGATTTTATAAGTACTTGCTGATACTTGCCAAATGGAGAACATGAGGGGAAATGTGTGTGTGTCTGTGTCTGTGTGTGTGTGTGTGT